CGTATAAATTATGTTCAAAGAAACCCCCTAGATTTCACCAAGATGAATTTTCCAATGATCGTTTGGGGATAAATCACTGCTCAATCACTGCCGAATAAAAACACTCCCCACAATTTACCCATCGACTTCTCACTCGCGACACCCAATTACCGCCCCGTGAACACAATTATTACATTTTTCGCGATTTTTCCCGGAAAGATTCGATGCACTGAACGCCCGTAATTTTGGTTCGCGAGTACAAAGGGATCAGCTGTCAATTTTAGGGAAACGAAGTTTAGACAGATGGCGATAGTGTGGCCTCTCAATCTCGGAGAGGCAGAAATGAGTTTCACGGCATAAGTGATCAGGAGCGTATGAAGGAGGGGCACTTTTGGGGGGATAATATCCCAATAGGGGGATAGGAATAAATGGTGCTGGGAGGGTGAATTTCTAAATTAGGGGTTAGACAGATGCGTCAAGATAGAGGGTGTGTGTAAGGGTGAAACTGGGACTGAGAAAGGGGTGTGTGTATAAACATGGTGTTTGTAGGCATGGTTAGGGGTGAAGTGAAGGGATGAAAATGGGATGAATGCCTGCAGGAAATTGGTAGGTTTTAAGGTGAAGGGATAAAATGGTTCTGAATGAAATGGGAGGTTTTTACACCCTCATTAACACATTCCCAAGATGGCCGACGGGGTAAGTCTATACAGGGGTGACAACAAATGTTTCCACAGGGGTGGGTAAATCGACTCAGGGGGTGATTCTGAGTCGATCTGTACCTATAAATTTCGACCTTTTTTTTCACCCTCACTAACCCTCCCTCAAAATGACCGATGGGATAAAAAAAAAGTCTTTACAGGGGTGGGTAAATCGATTCAGGGGGTGATTCTGAGTCGATCTGTACCTATGAATTTCAACATTTTTTTTTCACCCTCACTAACCCTCCCTCAAAATCAGGCATGGGTAAAGTCCGTTCAATCGGCTCACCTAGCTCCCAACCTCAATTAGGCCAATGACTATAAAATAAGGGGTCCTATTGTACCGTGCAGGTAGTTGGAGGGGCAAGACCACGATGCTTGGGTCAGAGTGGGGGAATCGTTACGTCAATCAACGCGCAAAAATCTGAATTTTTGAACGAAAAGTATGAATATGTTTCTTGCTGCATTTTGCATTGTTAAAAAATATCAATTAATCAATTTTCCCTCTATCAACTTCCGCGTAAAATTCTGTTGAATAAATTACTCTGAATTGAATATTTCGGCAGCAAATTAATTTTAAACAACTGTTGAAAAGATTTTTAAATTTTTGTTAATACAAAATTTTGTTAATACAAGATTTGTTCCAATATGAATATTAAAAGAATAAATAGATTCATACCAAAAATGGAGTTAAAAAAATCCGGTCACACAAATATTTGAAAGAAATTTCCTTGCAGAACTTTCGTGGTAAAATCATTTAGAATTGTCTTCTTTGGCTCATATATCGGCAAAAAATAAAAAAAATAGATTAAAATGAAAGGAAAAATCCCATTCGTTTCAAACCCAGAGCTTTCAGTGGGACATTTCTATAAAAAAAACTTTCAACTCCATTTTTGGTATGAATCTATTTATTCTTTCAATATTCATATTGGAAGAAATCTTGTATTAACAAAATTTTGTATTAACAAAAATTGAAAAATCTTTTCAACAGTTTTTTACAATCACAAACTTGTATAGATTTCATAGAAATCTAATACAGTTCCAATAGAATGGATTTTGATTGAATTTTAAAGAACTGACATTTCATTTTTTTCCAATCTTTACTAAAATAATTATTCAATATTAAGGTAACCAAGAAATAATTAATTTCTGGCACAATGATGTTTGAACCATTACCCCCGATACAACTGAGGATTTACCACGTGGAATTGGTGAAAATTTGTTTGAATTTTTAGGCCCTAAGGTTTTTTAAATTTGAAAGGAAAGCGCGCGGTGCTCTTATAGCTCTATTGTGTGGGCTATACTTAATAAGAGAGAGATGCAACTAAATAACACTTAGTTTATTAAGTACAAAGTTGTGTCTCGAGATAAGTAAAACACTTAAATAATTGGTAAGAATTTGAGCTTCAGTCCAAGGTAGAAAAAGGCAAGGTGTTGCCACAGCTGTGGTCAATCGTCGAGTCTTCGAGGAATCAGTTCCTGCTTACGGCGATGACGCCTTCTCTCCGCTTGACCAGTCGGTAAGGCAGGTAGTTGGAGAGATCCGTTAGATGGTGCCACAAGCGTGCGGTGCGGCGAAGCAGCCACACTCTCTCTGTCTAATTGCGCCCCACTTCGTACACGCTGCTACTCCCACCCTGACTACGCTGGGCTCCACGCAATTGGGGTATTGTATTTCTACTAATGGGTCTAATAGGGTTTTATGGCCCCGGCTCCCGAGGATCCGACTTTGCCCATGCCTGCTCAAAATGACAGATGGGAAAAAAAAAAGTCTTTACATGGGTGGGTAAATCGACTCAGGGGGTGATTCTGAGTATGGTTGAGGGTGGGAAGAGTCTGCCAGGGTTCAAAGGAGGTTGATGGTCGGATGAATTCATTCGGAAAAAATGATGGTTGATGGTGGAATGAGTCATGGGGAAAATGAGGGTTGATGGTGGGATGAGTGGATTGTGACAAAATGGGGGCTTGACGGTGGGATGAATACATGGGAGGAACTGAGGGGTTGAAGGTGGACTGAATTTATCAGGGTGGATTGGGGTTTGAGGGTGAGATGAGTGTTGCAGGGTGAAATGGGGATTGACAGTGCGATGAGTCATGGGAAAAATCCTCATTTCTGCCCGACACACTCATCCCACCGTTAAGTCCCCATTTTGTCCCATCTACTCATTCCACAATCAACCCTCATTGTTTCCATGACTGATCCCACCATCAACCCCCATTTCACCCTGATACACTCATCCAGGTTACAACCTTTCATTTTTTCTCCATAGAATCATCCCAGGCTCAACGGTCATTTTTCCCATGCACTCACCCCATCACCAACCCTCATTTTTCACAAGACTGATAGCACCCTCAACAATCATTTTTGCCGAATGAATTTATCCCATCGTGAACCTCCTTTGCACCCTGGCACACTTTGTAGACCTACCGCGTCGGACATCTTGGAAATGTATTAGTAAGGTTGGAAGAAAAGGTTGAAATTTATAGGTACTGATGGACTCCGAATCACCCCCTGAGTTGACTAACCCATCACTGTGAAGACTTTTTTTTAACCCCTGTACGGACTTTTACCCCGTTGGGCATCTTGGAAATGTATTAGTAAGGGTGGAAAAAAAAGGTCGAAATTTATAGGTACAGATCGACTCAGAATCATCCCCTGAGTCCATTTACCCACCCCTGTAAAGACTTTTTTTTACCCCCTCGGTCATTTTGAAGGAGGGTTAGTGAGGGTAGAAAGAAAAGGTCAAAACTTATAGGTACAGATCGACTCAGAATCATCCCCTGAGTCGATTTACCCACCCCTGTGGCGACATTTGTTGTCACCCCTGTATAGACTTACCCCGTCGGCCATCTTGGGAATGTGTTAATGAGGGTGTAAAAACCCCCCATTTTATTCAGAAGCATTTTATCCCTTCACCTTAAAACCTCCCAATTTCCTGCAGGCATTCATCCCATTTTCATTCCTTCACTTCACCCCTAACCATGCCTACAAACACCATGTTTATAAACGCACCCCTTTCTCAGTCCCAGTTTCATCCTTACACTCACCCTCTATCTTGACGCATCTGTCTAACCCCTAATTTAGAAATTCACCCTCACAGCACCATTTATTCCTATCCCCCCACTGGGATATTATCCCCCCAAAAGTGCCCCTCCTTCATACGCTCCTGATCACTTCTGCCGTGAAACTCATTTTTGGGCACTGTGTATTTGGAAGAAATATAACTTTTCTATAAACGTTACAAACTTTTTTTTTCATAAATATTTAGGTGGTAATTTGGTGGAATTTAGGAGAACATAATTATAATTTGGGAGTAATTAGTTGTTGTTTAATAGATTTTTCCTTTTTACAATAATAATGAGCAGAAGATATGAGTAAACAATTCAAAAATAATTACAACCGCTGGAGAATAATTTGATGGTCATTATAATCAAGGTTTCATAATTTAGGAGTTGATGGTTTTATTAATAAAAATTAAAAACGTACTTTTTTGCGTACGCTATATAGTAAGAACACTTGCGCATGCATAGTAGGCTTAAGCTAGGAGGAATTGATTTCATACTCATATTATTATTGATTTTTTCCGACCTCTTCCTTAATAAATATTTAGGGGGTATTTTAGTGAAATTTTGAAGACAATAATTACAATTTAGGAGTGATTAATTTCAATTAAATATTTCATTTAGTAAAGTAAAATGATAACCTTTTTTTTCTGACGAATATGAGTTTAATAAAGAATCATTTGGTGGTCATGATGATTCAAGTTTCAGAATTTAGGAGTTGATGATTTTTCATTTAAAACAAACAGTAATTTCCTGGCGTCTCTCATATTGAATCCATGCGCATGGGTGGCCTATGTCATATAATAAGGAGTTAAAACCTATTTTATGTGGCATCAGTTATATATTATTGTATTAGAATAATTACTTCCCCTCAATCGAACAATAATCTGAAAACTGATTGTTTTTTTACGTCATGTTTAAAAATTTAATTATGAAGAAATGTGTGAGAGAAATCATCATGTTCAGTCGGTTTGTGTTGAAACTGTACTTTATTGTTCAAAAGATATATTAGCGCTGTAATCAAAGCGAATGTCCGATTATTTTTTTTCCTTTTTCTAATCATCTTAGCTCTACTCTTCTTTACCAAAATCTTTAGGCACTTTATTGTAACTAATTCAACCAATTAATGACCAATGAGCCAACTAACTGCTGAAGATGGAATTTTTGATTTCGCCGTGTTTCTCGAAAATTTCCCATATGTATACGAAGTGGAAACTGTATTAAAGGTGACTGAATGGAAAATTTGTATAAAGCCGAATGCATTTTTTATGTCAAATTTTTAACGCTAACCAACAACTGTTTTTGCCTTATAAAAATTTTATTCTGATCTCATTACCCACGTTAAGTGATTTTGATTTTTTCTCCGGATGTCGATAAGATACAATGAAAACCGGAAGAATGATCTAACAGACTTATAGCAATTTTGTTTTTATAATAACAAATTACTCATGGACGCCCTTGTACAGAAGTAAAACAGATCTGCCATAAATTGAATTCAATATCAATAATGGAATCATTTAAATTGTTTGAAATGCTGATTGGATCTCGTGGTATGTATTCTCTTCGAAGACATTGTTACGTCTCTACCACACGCCCTACGATGGCGCTAGCAATTTTTTCTACCTTGTCTTATCGACTGTCGAGCCTTACCGACACTTAGTACATAAGTCACAAAATTAGCAAATATCTTATTTCTAATTTCACCAATTACTAAAATATCAAAAACCGTTATTTAAGACATTCGAAACCTCAAAGATATTTTTTCGTGGGAAAAGCATGAAACTGCTTTTCCCACACTCAAGACCAGATTTTAAATAAACCTAATGCACACGTGCATAATAAATATTCCAGAAACGAAAAACAGAATTTCCCTCTCACATCCATACATCGTAAAAATCCCCGAAGACCATTAAAAAGAACTGGATAATTTTCAAATCTCTAAAAGTTATTTGAACACGGCGAACCCCAGAAATCCTAAAGTACCATAAATTTTAAAGAAACCCTCTCGAAGCTAAACAACCCGTGGGATCAGAATTTTCCTCAAAGATAAAAACGCAGCTGCATTTTAATCACCAAAACTCCAATCACAACCCTTCAACTCGACGGCTGACCCAAAGTCAACCGTCTCGCCTCCCTTCCACCTCCTATCAGCCAATCCTATCCTCTAACTTAGGGCACGCACGCCGCAACGAGTCTCCCGCAGCATTTTCCTCATACGTAGATTCAACCCTATACAACTTGCTCCTAAAAGTTCCAAAACACTTACTTCTATTTCGACTTCCACGTCTATTACTTCTTAATTCCAACTCTGACTCAACTCCGAAGATTTAATAATCTTCCTTTCAAGTTTGAAGCGAATATATTTTACTAAAGGTAGCGGCGACAGTAGCCACGCAGGCGGTGTGTGACTCCGGCGATCACCCAAGCTAAGCAACGCTCAGTTGGGTTAGTACTTGGATCGGTGCCCGCTTAGTCACACCCATCCGCGTGTAGACTGCCGCCGTCAGGCACGGGTGCGGAGAGCTGGTGTGTTCACCGAGTCAGTGTGACTGATGAACACAGCAGAATCCCCGCAGTACCGGCCAGCTGCGCTACTGAGGGTTTACATGGTTTCCCTCAGTACACGCCAAATGGGCGCAGTACAGAAAGTCGGCCCATGCTACCGCAAAAATAATGAGAGGATAGTAGGAGAGGCTAATGAGAGGATAGTAGGAGAGGCTAATGAGAGGATAGTAGGAGAGGCTAAAGGCTAAGACGAAGGGGCGCCTATCAAACCATGGTAACAATGGTAATAGGAAAAAGGAAAAAATGTAAAAATAACAAAAAAAATAATAATATTTTACTAAAAGTAAATCAAAGGATTTCTTTAATTCAAAGTGTTCATAATAGTAAATCGCGCTTTGCATAAGTTATTTTAACAAGTTTGTGAAACCAAGTGTAATCAAGTGAAGTTTAAATCCAAATAAAACTGTTAAAACCCTAAATAAACCAACTCGTGTCTTAATTGATCAGCCACGCATAGTGGCCTTGATTAGTGGAACCTACCTAAGGAATATAGCTATCCACTAACAACCGGAGTTATCTCTCGAAGGTGTCAATCTACTAAAATCCATCTTCTCGACATCTATAGGGACTTAACAACATCAAACTTCCTTGATAGAGGTTTTTTCATAATGATGTTCTGCATTCTCATAGTTCTGAACTTCTAGAGTGTAAATAAAAGAGAAAACGTTGATGAAATGTCATAAATATGATGAAAATAAAAATGTTCAAAACTATGATCAGTGAACATACCTGCTATCTAACTTCCTGACATTGCTATAATTCTGGATATCATACACCACGAAGAATCATCGTTGAGACACGGTTGAAGAAGTATGCTCATTATATAGAAAAGTTTCTTAGATGTGGACATGCTGCAAGACTCAATTACACACTCCGACCTTTTTTCTCTGCACATTCGAAAAGTTGAACATGCGTAGAATCAAGAGTTGCTAGTTGATATAGATCACATTAGCCACTCAAGTTGACAATTATGACATATGCCACGCATGCGCACGCAATCAGTATGTGGGACGCCAGGAAATTACTGTTTTTTTTTTAATGAAAAATCATCACTCCTAAATTCTGAAACCTGAATCATCATGACCACGAAATGATTCCTCAACAAACCCGTATTTTAATAAAAGAAAGGTATGATTTTTTGTAAATTTCCATACTCCACTGAATTAATTATTTAATTGAAACTAATGACTCCTAAATTGTAATTATTTTCTTCAAAATTCCGCCAAAATACCACCTAAATATTTATGACGAAAAAAATCGGAAAAACCAATAATAATATAAGTATGAAATCAAATCCTCCTGCCTTAAGCCTACTACGCATGCGCAAGTGTCCTTACTATATATTGTACGCAAAAAAAGTACGTTTTTATTTTTTATTAATAAAAGCATTTACTCCTTAATTATGAAACCTTGATTATAATGACCACCAAATTATTCTCCATCGGTTGTAATTATTTTTGAATTGTTTCATCATAACTTCTGCTCATTATTATTCTAAAAAAGGAAGAATCTATTAAACAACAACTAATTACTCCCAAATTATAATTATGTTTTCCTAAATTTCACCAAATTACCACCTAAATATTTATGAAGAAAAAAGTTTGAAAAGTTAATAAAAAAATTATATTTCTTCCAAATGCACAGTGCCTCATTTTTGCCTCTCCGAGATTGAGAGGCCACACTATCGCCATCTGTCTAAACTTTGTTTCCCTAAAATTGACAGCTGATCGCTTCGTCCTCGCGGACATAAATTACGGGCGTCCAGTGTATCTAATCGGTCCGGGATAAATCGCTAAAAATCCTCCAATTATGTTCACGGGCCAGTAATTGGTTTTCGCGAGTGTAAAGTGCATGTGTAATATGTGGTGAGTGTTTTTTTGTCGGAGGAATTGGGCCGCCATATTTGTCCCCAAACGGTCATTGGGGAATTCGCCTTGGTGAAATCTAGGGGGATTCTTGCAACCTAATTATACGTTCATTCCTCAATTTCTCACCCCTGAGACCTAATTACCCGCCCGGCAAAAAACATATCTATTCATTGACCCCTCATATATCATATTTTTTGAGGGTCTACAGGGGCTGGTATTTATGTCCGCGTAAAACACGTTTTTGATGGGGAATTGTCTAGGGACTTGTCGGGTGAAAATCTTTCCACCTGGGCCTTAAGGCCCGGGTGGAGGGATTTTTGCCCGACATGTCCCTAGGGAATTCCCTAGAAAAAACGTGTTTTACGGGAACCCAAATGCCACCCGCTCTAGACCCTCAAAAAATGTGATTTTGGGGTCAATAAATAGATAATAAATTTCGGCAGGGCGGTAATTAGGTCTCACGGGACGGAAAT